CGGGCTGTCAGCTGAGCCACTGTCTGGTGCCGATTTTGCTGCACCAAGCGGAATAGTCTCTAACATCCTTTTTCTTTGATGACACGCAAACGTCCAGCATCTACTGCTGGTTTCACTGTCAGTTATCCACTTTGCATAAATACTAACAATGGCAGATCGTGAACAACCTACCAGTTGTGCAGTTTTGGAGATACTTGTTCCAAGTTTTGGGGCCAATAAAATCTGCCCTTTATCAAATTTGTTTAGATCAGCAGCCTTTCCTATCACTCACAAAATTAAGTGCAAGAATCATTCCTTACCTTCTCTGGCAGCAGTTAAATACCATTCCAACTTAATCATGTGTCCTCCACATCATCCAGATGAGTTGATTGAAAAAATTTTGGACAGTCGTGTTTTGGCTCATTGGTGTATAATCCAAATGGATATACAATATCCAGAATGATCTAATATCCGGACCTCCAGCCTACTAGACAAAAAAGTAATCTCTAAACATAATAAAAAAAAGAGTCTGTCTGTGTGTGTTGTTCGTGCTGCGTGTAAGCTAACAGACTGATTTGGCAACAGTTTTTCATTCAATGCTTTGGATACTGGACTGCTGACTATTGAAAATCAGCACTGTCACCGCTTGGAAAAATGAGGGTGATAATTCTGTGCAGTTTTAATTTAATGGTTGGTGTTCGCTTTTGGCATTTTTCTGGTATATTTAAAAAGCCAGACGAAGGCTGGCCGCGTAGCGGCTAGTATGAAATAAAAAAAAATTTAGGTATGGAAAATATTTATTACAACACTTGCTTTCTCAATAAAATGCAACAGGTGTGCTGTAAATGCAATTTTACTCCTGATTAAGTGGCATTCCTGCCTGTCACATTTAAACACCTACTGAGGAAGTGGCTCCAGGGCCAATGACAATACATTAATTGACCAATGACAAAACATTAATTGATGTTATACTGATATTTACTAGGATCATACTTTCAGACTTTTAATGGTTGGGGAGTGTCAACATTTTTCTCTTTGATCTAAACAGTAAAGGAAGGCCCAATGTTGCTATGTCTACATGTCATCTTACTATATTTAAACTGATGATCTAAAATCTGGAATCACCGAAGTCTCAATGATTTCGACTCTTGGACTTTGTACTGAATACATAATATGAGAACAGGTCAGAAAACATTGTACTGAATTTATTTAAAAATACTTGAACATATATATAATATGAACAGAGACAAGAATCTCAAAATTCTGAAGTACTTACCCCTTTTAAACTGCATTTGGTTTTGAAGAAATGAAAGAAATAACAAGGAACAATATCCAGCAAATAAAATGGCTGCTGGAGCTGAGAAGTGTGTAGTTTTGTAAAAAATTGCTGTATGCATGGATGTACTGTTATAGTTTATTTATTACTTTTCATATTCCTATATTCCCTTGTTAAATGGCAACTTAAGTTTTTTGGCAAATTTGAAGTTTACCCATTGTAGACTGGGCAATTCAGTTAGACAATTTTAGCAACTAAGCATGACATTGGCTTTACCAAGGAAGTACACTGCGAAAAAAAAAAAGGACAGTTCTATATCTCCCGCTCTTCTGAGCCGATTAACGAAATTCAACTTTCGTTTTTCATGTCTCGAAAGTGCCTTTTAGGATATGTATTAGATTTATTTATAGCATTGTTCTAATGACATGCCTTTTTTCCCCATATTTTGATTCTACGATTTAAATTATGTCAAACTGCCACATTTTGTAAAAATCGTACCAGTAGTTTTTAAAAAATTAGCTCTCAAAATTTTAGTTCTTCAATGTTAATTGAATTTGGTACATATTTATTATTCTCTCTTTTTTTATTAAACTTATTTTATTCTTCCTTTCACATTTCAAAATTGAGTTTCATTCCAAACAAAATTCACTCATTTTTTATGATTTATTTTTTAAATTTGTATTTTTAAATAATTTTTATAAATTTTTCAAAAAAAATTTTCAATTATAACTTATAAAATTTTTACCATCATCTTAAAGTAGATGTATTTCTAAGCATACCTGCAAAAAATTATAGTTCTTCATTCAAAGCTTCCGAAGATATGCCTGTTTATATATTGGCACGTTTTGGAATTTAGCATATTTGTCGAAAGCGATAATAATATCAAATGTGGTTTAGGCACTTTGTTAAAACTATTTGAAAGCAGAAACGATGTGACTTTTTTCCCGCTCATGCCCAATGTAGAAACGATAGGAACGATGCGACTTTTTTTCCCACTCCTGCACAATGGAAGGGAAAGGAAAATAGGTAGACATTAAATTAAGAAGTTAGCCAAGATAAATTTTACCAAATTTAATATTTAGGCATAATTTGAGTTGTAGATTTGAAATATGGAAAAAAATTAGTATGTCATTTCAGAAAAAGTCTGATTTTGTGTCAAAATACCTATGCTAGAACAATGCTATATATAAATCTAATACGTATCCTAAGTCACACTTTCGAGACATGAAAAACGTAATTGGAATTTCGTCAATCAGCCCAGTAGAATGTGAAATATAGAACTGTCCCATTTTTTGGGGGGGGGAGGGGGTCAAGTGTATCTTATTTTTCACTGCTTAGTCATGGTATAGTTGCCGTTAATCACTACCATGCAGTGCTAATTTTTGTGATGAAGAGTATCTTAACAATCACAAAACTTCACAGCAATATTTCTTGCTTACTGCTGGACCTAACAGTTTATTTATGATATACAACAGCTCTCATTTTTTCAAGAAATTTAACTTTAATGAAAATTCAACTAATTTGTAATGGAACTTAATAGAAATTAAGCTAATTTTTAATGGAACTTAAAGTAAATTTGGACTTTTTTCCCTCACAGGAGAACATATGCCACACAATTTTCTCAGCTATATGAGACAACTTGACACTTCCAGGAAAAACATGTACTTTCATGATGTATATTCTGATTGTGGTTAAATGTTTCTAAACATAAGAAATATATCTCTTAGGTTAAAAATTTCAGTAAAGAAAAACTGAAACAGAATGATACTCTTTAAAACTTTTTGTTCATAATTCTTATTTTGAAAATAAGAATATTATACTGCTGGACAATTGCTAAGGACAGACCACATTATCACTTATAGCAACCACAAAATGAAAGGAAGGAAAATTACAATAATGTGTCAGATACAGTATTGAAGTGGTGTATGTATGCTAACATTCATTTCCTCACCTGCTCATCACGTGATAGTGCTGATAAAAAAAAAAAGATTTGCCTGCTCAATCACGTGATAGTGCTGATAAAAGATTTGAAACATTTAATGCATGTTAGCAGTTGTCATACTGAGTTTTATGGGAAAGATTTAATTGACAATCTTGAAAATTTTGGTGTGTCTATCGAACATCACTTAGATAATTTTACATGTGGGAGCATCATTAGAAAGACTGGAAAACGGCAAAAAAATAACAAATGTTGCCAGTAATTTAACAACACATACATCATTGTTTTGCAGCTGTAGAAAGAATTTTAAGCAACTGGAACCTGTAGCAAGCATTATGGGGGATGTAATGTTAAATTATGACGTGTACAGGAGACAGGTAAATTGCCATGTCAGTAAAAAAAAAAAAAAAAAAAAAAAAAACGCACTACAACTCCACAGAGGGCCAATAAGTTTATTGCTGCTACTGGACAGTGGATCTCCTGAACAGACATTTGTGGAGAAGAGAAGTATATAACCTCAGCTCTGTTGCATGTATTCCATTATCCACCATATCAACCAGTTTGCAATGGTGTAGACAGCATTGCAGTTGGATTGAAAAAGACTGGGATTGTATGTTATTCTTAGATGAGAGTAGGTTTACTCTGTCAATAGATTATAGACACTACCTGATCTGGTATGAAAGTAGTACTGCCATCTAGAAAATATTGAGGAAAATGACCGAAATCCAAAATGCAGTATCATGGTATGGACTGCCACCAATATCAATGGCTGCACACTCCCACATACAACTGAGAATATGACTGGCCAACGATGCATTTATAGAGTTCATTTTCCTCATGTTCACCTTTTCCATGGTGCATTTTGTGATAAATTCCTTTTTGTGCATAACAACACACTATGCCATTGAACACTCTATGTCAGGATGGTCTAGACAGAGAGAATATTTAATGCCTCATATAGTCAACACGCTCTTTCAGAACTAAACCTCATTGAAAATGTTTGGGATGCTCGGGGAAGACAACCTGCAGATCAAAAATATTCTCCAGAGAACAAGAACAGCCTCATCCATGCACAAACAGAAGAGTGAGATCAATTGCCTCAACAGCTGGTGAATAATGTTGTGCAAAGCATAACACGATGTATGGAAAATTACATCGCACACCACGGTGAACCTATCTAGTACTAAAAACTTTTTTAAAGTGAGTACTGTCATTATATATACATTTTTCCAGTTCCTGATACATAACATCAAAAGAAACACATTTTTACTTTTGGATGTTTTAAAACCTTTTGTACTTTTGTTTTCCTGAACAATAAATGTTTTTAATTCGAATTTCCGAACATAGTAGCAACTAAATTTTATTCTGCTTAGCCTTTACTCCTGCTCAATATTATGGCACACTGCAGTTTGAAATCCATCTTTAGCATTTGTCCAGCAGCATATTATAAGAGATAACAACGATGCATTTAATTTATCGTGCCCAAAAGGCAACGTTGAAGCCTATCTTTCTGAGGAAAAGTGTTTGTTATGTTGTCTTATAATGGAAAACATTCAGAAATTTTTAAGAAAAAGAATATTTGAAATATATAAAGAAATATATCATTGTAAACAAATGCTGTTTATGATTATAAGCAATATGATTTTCGACAATAATAATACAATGATTGTACTTTGATCAATTTACCATAGAAGTGCTAGAAAATTTTAAGAAGTGAATAAAAAAACTAAAAAAATACAGTAACACTAGCTGTATATTTTATTATTGAAAATGTGTTAATGTTTCAATAAATATTACAAAACTTACTTTTTTGACTTGCTGCTGCTGAATTTCTAAATAATTTGAATTTGGTGATGTTTTAAGAAGGAATTTCCTTGATCCAGACAACTAAAATACAAAAAATTTAGTTGCATGAAAAAACAAACATTAACATAACAGATTTAATTTATAGTGATACTCTCAGTCAGTTTTAACTATCAAAGAAACCTAAAAGATAAAAGATTATTTTAAGTCTTAAAATAAAGGAAAAATATTTGAAAAATAAGAAAATGGAGAAAATCTCCAAAATAAATTGATATACAGGGCATCCAGCAAAGGAGTCCCTGGTTTCAAAATTAAAAATCTCAAAAACAAATGTAAAGGAATACAAAAAGCAGTATATTTTTTGTGAAATTTCTAAGAATGTCATACAAAAGTTTCAAAATGATAGGTGCAAAGTTTGCCAACAAATGGCACTGTAATGAATAAATACATAGTACATATAAATAATGCCCTTTATGTAATAACCTCTTTATGTTATGTAGCTACCTTTGTCTCATCCTCGCAGCTCAAAAGAAATGTGCTATTTGGATCTAAAAACCATTTCAGAATATCTGTCTTCATAGAAAGAAAAATACTTTATCAATGATCTATTTACTTTTGTCAAGAAGTGTTTGTGAAGCTGGTCTGTGCATCCACCATCTAAGGAGGGAGGAGATCAACACACAGAATAATGTAAACTTTTGAAATTATACTTTAAAATCTTTGCTCACGATAATAAAACTGTAGAAAACTTAAAACTGTCAGTAAAAATGTTAATGTCAAGAAATCTAGGTAAAGAACTAAAATGGTCTTCCAACTAGGCATTTAGAAAAATAAATTCCAGAAACCTAATTTTTCAGGCTGTAATCAAACCAGCAGTATTTGCATATTAATGCAACCATCTTGGCACAAATTGGCGATTTTTTTACAGATGAAAAAGAATTATGACATAAGTCTTCATTCAATTCAACTTAAGAATGGTTGTGCACATGGCTGCCCATATTTGACACATTCTGAATATTTGGTGACTTTTATTAAGGTGAATGTGATAATACATAAGTACCAAATCAGCAACTAATCATACATATAATTATCAATCCTATATCTGACAGCTTATTTTAAGAATACCAAGGCCCATGGAAAACTGAAACAATCCATGTAGATAGTTCATGATCCAAATGCATATGCCACATGCTACCAAGATGTTTACTTGAAATTGATCCTGATAACCTGTCAAAATATCTAAGCCTGTAAAGGTAAGTAGTTCATGATCCATGCTGGGTCCCTAGTTTGAAAAACTCTTCTCTACTGAATTGCTTCAAATACTTTCCTATTTTCAGCATCCAAACTATCAAAATTCCTGAAATTTAAGTGCAAAATTAGAAAGAAAAAAAAAAAAAAAAAATCCCTTCCTCATCCTATTAATGTTATAAAAGGATCTGAGAGAAATGACATCATCAGTATTTAGAAAATAATGTTCATTTATAAAATAATTTTTCTCTTTCACATCGATATAGGCCAAAATCTGTTCCTTTCAAACATATGTGTATAAATTTTTGTTGGAATGGATTTCCTTTCTCCATTACGACAAGGTTCATACACATTTCTGCACACGAAAATTAAGGACTTTAAAGGCCCATTAATGAAAAACATTAAAAATCTATGAGCAAACTGGAACTGAATAAATTCAATTAAAAATATGGTCTATGCCTGAACTTCACTTTTGTAATACTATCCTAAAAATAAATAGATCCATAAGTGGGGTGCATTATTATTAAACATAACATAATTAGTAATAAGTTTGAGAATAAACTTTATGAAATTTATCAAATAGAATTAAATATTTTACACTTATAATAGTTGGACATATTTGAAAGAAGATAAGTGACATTTTATTTATATTTTACTAACAGTTCGCTTTATGGTTTTTTTTTTTTTTTTTTTTTTTTGTCTCATTTTGACACATACTTGCTCAGTCTAGAGGTAAATAGTAAGTAGATTTTATGTCAAGCAGCAAAGGTTAAAATGAGAAGTAAAATCATAAGCAGCATGATTCATAACAAAAGACTGGATGTTGTGACTGCTGTTGCTTGCTTAAGAGAGACCTGCTGATTAGAACAAACAAACCTGAATGGCTGATGTAGGCACGGTTGACAAGTTTTGAAAGTTAGTTGAGGGTCTGTCTGACACAATTAGTGTCACAACTTCATGTCATGTTTCAGGGTTTGTAACCCCATTAATATACTTTAAGGTTTTAATAAGCAACTAAAGCACCAGAGGTGATAAGTTGTTTTGCATTAAGTCTCACTAGATGCAAAGAATAAGTTTTACATGAATTTTGACATTTTTATGTCTTATCTTGTGACCACAGTAAGGTTTAATGAAAGACAATAACTAACTTTAATACATGGAGATAATTTTTAAGGGTAAGCAGTTAGTTATAAATAATTAAATTAGGTAGTTAGATAACCTTAGTCATTATGGATTTACATGGCCACTGTTAAATTTTATTTATTTTTTAATAATATTAAAAAAAAAAGCCCTATTAAAATCACAATCTAATAAAATTTCACAGTTTAAAATACATGTAATTTATGACATTGATTCTTAAACAATATTAGGATAATTACACATTAAAAGATAGAAAACATAAATTTTTTGTAGCAACAACACTCAACAAAATATTTATGCGTCTTTTTAATTTGAAGCCTTCCCAGACATTTTGCCTAATTTATATCAATTTTCTTCTCTTTAAGCATCTTTTCTAGCAATCAAAAATTTGTCTCAATATGCAAACCAATATTTTAACTAGTTTCTGTGTACTTTATATCCTAACATGTCAACCTCTCCACAATGTACTTATGAAGGTTTACGTGATCTGGTAAAAATCAAATAGTCCAAACCCCCCCCCTAACAAACGTAAAGCAAATTATCGCTATGTCTGAAATTAACTACAATATCAGGCACAGATTTAAACAAAACTCTTATTTAAAAGAAATTAGAACATAAAGGCATGTTCTTATGCTAAGAAAATCAATTACAGCACATGGTGATGTAATTAAATAAGAGTCAAATCCAAACTAAGAATGTGGACTAGTGCTTGGTTGGTTGGTTGGTAACGGGGATGCCTGATGTCTCAAAGACTATTCAATTTAATTTTAATTTAAGTTGGCTCATTAACTCTATCATATGAGGAAATAGAAATGGGAAATTATAGTAAAGGCTGAAATTATAAACAACAGGGTAATTTACATAATAATAACTGTACATATCCTTGAAGAATAATTTTCTTTATGTGTTCAATTTCTTTCTTTAAGACGTTTCCTTTTTACATTAAAATTTTTTGATTTAATTAATGATGTCTGTTTTCTAAATAAATAAATAAATAAATGCATTTAGGATGTGTAGAAAAAGCTGCTAATTTTATTTCTTCAGTAATATGAACATTCAGAGGAAATATAAAATATATATGGTAAGGGCTGGTTACAGAGCTAGTGTGGCAGAATTTTTAGAATTTAGTGACACACCGAACAACATAATCTAGAAATGGCAAAACATTTAGAATTTATAGTAAGCATTTTTTTTTTTTTTTTTTTTTTTCTTATTACATGCTCCGCCCTTAGGCACTACACAGAAAGGGAAGGATGCCCCGTTGAGGTCTTTTTAAGGAAAACTGGTTCGTATATACGTTACACATGGGAAAAACCACGAAAACACCCATGCAGCCATCCCGCTCGCCAGGACTCGAAACCCGGACCGAACTACCAGTGTTCAGCACCTTCATTGCATCAGGTAGGAAAATGCCTAGCGCTCTCCCTGTGTATGATGCATTAAGACATATTATACGAATATTTTAAATTATGAGTTTTCAATTTCTTTATTAATAAAAAAATTCCTTTCTATAATGTCTGTCCATGTGATAAGATCAGAAGCATTTCTGATATTTTCCATGCTTGTGTCTAGTGAAAAGTAGAAAAAATAAAGGGAAGATATATATATATATATATAAAAGATTCTAGTATCAGAAGTAAAACATTCAAATATTATGTTTTCATTGTTCTTCCAGATGTTCTCTGGAAAGTAAGAAATTCATCACAAACTTTCTGTAAAACACGTCTACTATGCATTAATACCATGGAGACATTTATCATTTTGTCACATTTTTCCGGAATCTTCTTGAATCATGGGTCTATAAATCGTGCTTTCAAATCCTTCTAAACTTTTCAAGCTGAAATGTCTAAATTCCTAAAGAAAATTATCCCTACCAATTCTGTAACAGCAAAAAGAGATAAATATTAAAAAAAAAACCCCACACAGAAGGGAGGGGTGTAAAATTAATTTTATAGAGAAAGCTAATGCATATTCTGAGAAAACTCTTACTATAAAAAATTTAAAAGATATTTTTAATTAATTACATAGCTAATTTTGCTTTGGCTAAGAACTGTTTTATAAATTTTACTTATAGCATACACCTGTTACTTTCAGATTCAAAAATATTGTATAAGTTGCAGAAACGGAACTTTATAATATGACAGTGAAAAATAAAAATGTTTTATTTTAATGTTATTTTTTAAATATAATTTCAAAATATTACAATTATTTTAATGAAATTTATCATTGTTACAATGCTTTAAAAAAAAACTGTCGAAAAATTCTCAGATCTCAAAAAAATTAAAAATTTTCTATAGAAACTGATCTTAAAATCCCCAAAATGTTGGCAGGTCACCACATTAGATCTGTTTAATAAAGGAATTCACATCCCCAAAAGCAAAAAGCTGTTAAGAACTCTTCATAATAAAAAATGAAATAATTTAGAAATGCTTATGTTTCACTTCTTGCTCAGAAACTCGAGTATCCCACCATTTGTATTAGAAATAGGAGCAAATTATAACCCATGAATCCATTCACCAATTCAAAAGGTAACTATATTTGTCAGTGAATCGCCAAAAATATTCCTCCAAAATGCTAATTCACGCTCAAAATGGCAGTTGTAAAAACAGACAGAAATTTCAATTGATTAAAATCAAGGACCTTCTGCTCATTTTGGCCAAAATTAAGGACTTTTAAGGAACAAAAATCAATTCCAA